ATTTTATTTTTATTTTTTTATTTTTTTTTTTGATTTGGCATATTTTAATTCAAGAAACATATATTTTTGTTAAAGTATTTTCTAAGATTTCTTCAAAAGTTTTGCGTGAATGGAACAAGTTTTAGTTTGACAAATTTATAAAATCTTCTCAATTAACTTTTGTTTTTCATATGATCAAGCACTCACTCTTACACAAATATTTGAAGGATGAATTTAAGCGATTTGAGAAGGATAAGATTGCCGAAATAACAATTTGCCATCACAGATTTGTTGGTAAAATGATAGTAGTTAGTGGTTTGAAGCATTTTTAAAAACCGTTTTTCAACAGTATTCTACCACATTTTTTGAAACCGTACTGTAACAGTTACAGTTGCATCACTATCAGTTGAAATAAACGGTACTGATCAAGATACACTTTTGTTAAAATAGCAGTACGACAGTTACTCACCTAATTACTATTGACTTGTGATACAAAAGAGAAATTCTGAAAGGTCTTTATTTGCTTTTCTCTATTTTATTACAAGTTTTACCCGGTTTAAATTTGTATTTATTTGATTCCAGATTTTAATGAATTTTTTTTGAATAAATGGGAAAGTGTAGAAATAAATGAGAAATAATATGTCTTCTGTAGTTTCTTTACACTACTTTTTTTAATATATATTATTTTAATTTTTAAGTAAATATTTTCTGTTTCTATCTTAGTTTTCTTTACATTTTATAATTATTTTTGAGCTCAAAAGTACATAACAACATATGTAAAGTATACAAGGCAAATGTTTGGATAAAGGAAGCATCACTGGTAGAAACCCAAAATAATAAGCATTAATGCTACAGAACATCTTTGTTGTTACGTTTCTACTACTTTTTGTACCGATCGTAGCAACAACTTTGTATTACGCTTTCATTTATGCACTATTAGCTAAAAGTTGGCAGAAGTGTGAATTTATTGAACAGGTGACCAAGATAGCGGTTTTAGTTGAACTGAAACTCAGCTATCTGAAGCACTGCTCGAGTGCACGTTTCTAGCAGATACACTGCTTCTTTTGCTCTTCAGATCAGAAGAAGAATACCGTACGTAACTGTAGTCGTCTTAATCACATGAGAATGATTTTTTTTTGCAGGTTGTAATCATTGTTCTCACGCTGACAGCTGTCAACTAAATGAGTACTGTCCAACACTTTATTCATGACAGTACATTTCAGTTTGAAGGCCAACTACAACTACTAGTAAACTTCTCGCTCGATTTATGAAACTTTAACAGCCATTTGTAATACGCAAGGCACTCCAAAGAAACTTCCAAAAGACTTTTGTCGAGAAACGGTCTTTGCTTGTAATACCTTAATAAGAACCTTATTTAAGGCATCAGTGCAAAACCAGGACGTTTTTGACATATTACTTTCACAACATTACTTTGCAGTGATCTTATCTAGGATTCTTCCCTACTATATTGTTGTTAGTTCTTTGAGTTATAGTTGCGTACGTGGTTTTGAAAAAATGAACTTTCCGAAACAAGTTCAGACATTTGCATACGCATATAACTAAGAAGAATATTGGAGATAATAAGTGCTAATATTTATTTACACAACACGACTTTTTTATTGGTAAGCTGAGGAGGCTTAAGTTGATAACATCAGGGTTGTAACGAAACACTGTGGCTGTCAAACCAAACAGTACTGACTATCCTTATCCAATAAAGTGTCTCCACGGAATCTTTAAGACCTAATAGAATAATACGGTTAGTGGCAATAGTAAAAAACGAATAGCTTATAGTTGGATCATGGATGCTAATGATTTTGACAAAGCTTAAAGTAATTTTTCACACACGAATACGGTTTTAAAAGTTAAATTAGACAAGTCTTATTTCTATTAAGCCTAGGCTTCAAAATAAGCTAGTGAGTTTTAATGATTAAAAAATAGAATTTGAGATAATAATTAGTTTTCGATTTTTTTTGCTAGCTAAGGCTAGATCTCGCTGGCAAAACCGTAAAATTAATTTCCCGAATCTATTAAGCATAAATTTTTGATTAAAAACATAACACCCTCAATTTGATTAATGTTTTGCTTTGTTCAATAAATTCCAGAATTTGACAGGGATAGAAAAGTCAATAGTCTTTCAATCTTTCAGTTCATTTTTTCATTGTTTTTGGACCTTTTTAGCGGTATCTACAAAATATGACTGCCTAACAGCAACTGCTGATTAATGGATATAAAAATGCTTCCGAAATGCATCTAGATGTTTTACCTTTATTGCTGTTGCAATTTTAAGGTCAATTAAGTTGCTATTTACAGGTGATTTTTGACCAGATATGCAGCCTCATAAACATCAATCATTGATCATCTATCAATTCTTGTTTTTGCTAGAATTTGCTAAGTAAACTTTATAATTATTAGTGACAGATTATATGGTGCAAACTTTTGTTTGCACTGTAAAACCATTTGTTGTTTTCAACAACAAAAAAAGAGAAAAAACAAACTTTTTGCAACTCTTATTTCAACCCATTAGACTAATAACCGTCAGATCACTAATGAAAAACAAAAAAATTAATTTTTAAACTATGTTTTTAACTAAATTTTAATTTCATTGAAAAAAGTCTTTCTAATATAAGATAATTAAAAAAAGCAGTAAAACACGAAAATACTTGTACCTGAAGATCTGGAATACAGTACAGCAAACGGTAAAGTGGTGCTGCAAATTCTTTTCGTAAATCCGGTTGACATATAACATAAATTGGAAGTCGAAATGCTCCAGCGATTATTGTAGAAATAGAAATCTATAAAAGTTATGTCAAAAAAGTTACTGCATAAAATCACGGTAAGATAAAACTATTTTTTAAGTAGTACTGTTGTTTACTACATAAATTTAAACTTTCTTAATGCTATTATTCAGTAGAAAAGAGAACTAAAACTATTCTACATTAAAATTTAAGAGCCGAAAATTTCTTAATGTTTTTTTTTTTTTTGTATCGTAGAAAATGTTGACCATTAGTTAAGAAACAATTTTGCAATTTCAGTCTATTTGTAATATTATACCAAAATTTTATACATCAGTAAAAATATGAAAGAAGAGATGAAGCTAACCACATCTGTAGATATCATATAAAATTCCAAGTAATCTGTCACTAAAGTTTCTTTGTCAATATATTCCCATATGGTAATAAAAACATTAAGTACTTTTGAAAGTAGATAAGTAAATATGACAATTAGCATAGTCCGAGTGGCATCACGCACTCTTATCTGCAATATTCAGTCTCTAGACTGTGTTTACTGTTAGCACAGTCTAATAATAAAGATTCTAAAGCAAAAAAAAAAAAAGAAAAAAACCTTCTGTTGTGCATCACTGAGACGTCTTGTCGATCTGTCAACACGTTTCATCTTCTGTACAGCAACAACGATACGTATATTCATGAATGCTAATGTAGCAAATGGTAACAGAACGCTGAATATATTCCGAAATATTAATCGCCACCAATAACTGTATGCCTCATTTTCTTTTACCAATACGGATAAATCAATCTCATATTCTGTCAATAAACCTGCACATTCTTCTACATAACGAATCTGAAAAACCAAAAAACAGATAAACATTCTTAAAAGCTGTTTTTTTTTTTGCTATCGAATAACTGTTTACAAATAAATAAGATTTTTCGAGGTTAATAAATTTTGATAAGACTTAATGTTTATTTACTCTGCATTTTCTAATTGTTATTTTTTGTTTTGGGGTAATAAATAATCTGAAACAAAAATTTGTGATGGCAAAAAAAAACAGAAAAATTAATGGAACAGAGATATACATCAAATTCAAAGGGAAATGAGGCCATAATTGTAATTCCGAACAATATTGTTGCTGTTACAATTACTGGACGATAACGTTGAAAGCATTCAAGCCTTCTGGGATTTGCGGTTACACAATAACGTTCAACACTAGCTGCTACTATTAGATATGACGATGCCGTCATACCGACATGCGAAAGTGTATTCAAAGGCACATTATAAGCATACCTTAAAAAATTATTCTAAAATTTATACAAGAAAAAAAGCTAAAGCACTCAACATTTATTTTATCTTACTCAGAAGCAATAACTTTTTTTTGCATTGATTATTTTGCAGTAAAAGTATTTGCAATAAACATACCCCCCCTCCCCAAGAAAAAAACAGTTACGTATCAAAGTTTAAGTCAATTACGCAAAACTTTTTTTTTTCAAAACTGCTGCATGATTCTGATGCATGACGTTAACCTTTTTTTCCCTCAATTTTATTCGGAAATCTAATCTACAGATTTATGCATGACATATGATTGGACTTCTGCATGCAAAAAAAAAAAGCCACCCATATAAAAATGAAAAAAAAAATGAAAGCTACTCAAATTTTTTTTCGCCCATTTTACACCTAAATTTGAAAAAAAAGGAAGAAAATAAATAAACAACAAGAAAAAAGAAGCAACGAACAATACTTACCATGCACGAAGTAGAAACATAGAACCGTAAACATCTATCAGCACAGATAATGACATAAGAAAGAAGTACGAAAACGCTAGTAAAATATCGAAAAAGGCAAGTGATAAAAGATATAGCGAATGTGACTGTCGATGAGCATGACTGAAAAAAAAAAAAAAAAAAAAAAAAAAA